TTACACTTTGTGATTAAATAGTTTCCTTGTCGTTTATGAACGGAATCCTACATTTTTTTAATATCATATTTCATCATTTAATTCACAAGAAATTACCATTCCACCCCTAAAATAATTTAAAAAAACATTCTTTTGATTAGCCTATGACTTATCATCGTTGCGACTTATTATTCTTCTTTAATGATTCTTTGTCAACCGTCCTACTATTCAGCGTTATAATCGTACAATAAAGATCACATATATGTCGTTTCCCGTCCGGCTGTCGGATTGAAGAACAGGTCTATGATTTTATTCATTTTTTATATTTAACTTTTATTTAGATTTTAACGAATATAAAGTATAGTAACTAAAATATATCAGTACTTCACCATTATAGAGACACGCAAAATAGTATATATGTATTATGCATGTGCATATAATGAAGAAAAAACTTTCAAATTTGCTTTCTACACCGTACGAATTTTTTTTAATTATTATTATTTTTTTGTTAATGAGGGGAAGTAATTTACGCTGAAGTCCTTATTCTGAAGAAGAAATGAAAGTAAGTATATATCTATTCTCTCCCTAAAATAGAAAATAGGTTTTTCAGGGGTTCGTTGTCCCCCATTTCGTTGCCTTTTAAGCTTTTTTTTTTTAGTTTTTTTTTATATTTTGTAAGTTTTTCTTTTTTTTTTTCTCCTTTCTTTTGCCTCCTTTATTTTTTTATTGCATCTTTTAATCTTTAATTTTTATATATTTTAAAATATCTTTTTTAAATACTTTTCTTATGGTTATTTAAACTTTTATTTTTTTTAATTATTCTGCTAAATTTATTCTTAAATGTGTCTCTACATAAACACATTTTGTATATGATCTTCATAAATTACAGTGAAACATTTTGCACAAATTTTTTTCTTTAAGTTTTTTTTTTTTTTTTTATCTTTTTGTTCCTGTATTTTACATAATTTTTTTCCACTTTTATCTTTGTTTCTTTTTGCCTTTCTTTTTTTCCTCTTTTTATTCCCCGGCGATTTGTTTCCAGTTAAACGACGTCGAGTTTTATCAAGTGAAGGGTCCAAACAAGCCAACTGTATTAGAGAATAAATTGTATTCTGTGGTGTCAACCACGAGATAAAACTTTTTAATTCATACAATAATTTAAAAAAGAGAGATAAAAATTCAATAAAGTCCACAAAGTACCGACAGTGTGGGAAGGAAATCCATGATAGAAATGGAACCAAATTTGATTTCCACTTTCTTTTGTTTCATTCATATAATTATAAATATTCCTCTCTAACACTTATAAACCTCTCGATTATGAAGAATAAAAAGGATTTTTTTTTTTAATTGGAGAGATTCCGACTCTGGCCTATAGTAGATATATAGAGAACGACAAAGGGGAAAATAAGTAAAGAAAAACAAAAGTAAAAAAAAAAAAAAAGTACAAACAAACCACTAACACAAACAACAAAAACAAAAAGCATTGAGCGGGGACGATGCATTATTAGCAATTTCCGCGTACTAAAAAACCATACCAATCTTTTAGTACATATCAAGGTGAGAGTCTGATTAGCAAAAAAACAAGGTGAAAGTCTTAAAACTAAGGCAAACCATTATATGGAAATTCCGGCATAAAAAAAAAAATTATCTATTTTACACAGGTTTTAGCTGGCATATTTAATTCATCAATTTCTGTTAAGTTACTATACTTTTTAATTATTCTGATATGATTTCGAGATAATTCTTAGGAATCAAAATTGTACCAACCGATACCTTACAATATAATTCTGTGTTATGTGCACAAGATTTTAAATTAGTATATAAAATAAGTTGAGAATAATGTTAGACACGCGATTGTCCTTGCATTCTCAAAGTGAAATATTGATTAATTCACAATTATTTACTTAATATCGATCAAGATTCACTAATCGATAATTATTTCAGCATAACAAACAGTAGAAAAGCTTGGTACTCATTCTAAGACAAACCTCATTAATTAGAATAAATGTCTATAATTTTATACCATCGAAAAAAGTTTTAACGACTGTTTTTAACGATCATCTTATTGTGTTTTTATACTAGAGATGTTATCAATCGTAGAACCCGGGATAGGGAAAAAAAAAAAAAAAAAAAAAAAAAAAAAAAGATGTGTATTATGTAGAATGAATCTAAAACTGTTTTTTTTTTTTTTTTTTTCAGCATCCAACTATTGATTTCTCACTATATAGAGTTGTCCCACACGGATATTCATATTCAACGTCTAATCTCAATTATATCAAACATAAAACAATTGACTAACCAACAAGCAAGAAAATACAAACACAGAACATAAAAGAGTACTTTGTGCTCGCTACAAGAATCAAGAAAATACATGCAATTTGGAGAAGAATGCTGTTGAGGCATTTATAATGAAACAAGAGACTTTTTTGTTTCTTTTGGTACTTTTGAAACAGGGAATCCGAACCAAAATTTTGTGTCTCATCCCAGATATTGCATTCTCATATCATACCAGAGGCACTTGATGTCATGAGAGGCTTCCGTTTGATATTTATTGTTTTTTTTTTTTTTAAGGAAGAAAGGATAAAAAAAAAAAAAAAAAAACCTCTTCAATTAGCTCCTGATGTTGGAAAACATAGCATTCAGTTCGTTTGTCTGTACCCAAGTCTAAATGGACATAAACACAAAGAGATGGAAATGTTGCTTTGCTTTGATCACCCAATATATGGATCTTGTCATATATTTTAACTTCAATAAGTTAGCTAGATTTATTTTTTCTTGTTTCTGAAGATTGAGCTAAAATCATACACAAAGCAAACTAAAATGTTTTTGTCATGAAAACAAAGAGTAACGCTATTGGGCTCCTCGCATCTTATAAGAGTGGACCCTATTTTTATTGCATGCGAGCCCCCAAGTTCCGGGGAGCCTTAAAGAATTTTTTTTAAAAACAAAGCCTAGACATATTGTTAGATCTGATTTTACATATGGTGTTCCAAGTGATGTTGAAATACTATCTGGAACACGCCTTAATTAATTAAGATATGAGTTAATTACGTTCAGTTGCTGTGCATAATAAAGTACAGAAAGTAAAAAAACATACAATATGATATCGCAGTTTGGTGCGCACACCTACATCTGCGGGGCCACGCCCAGACAGTAAACAGTTCACTATGTTCTAGAAATTACAGACACCAGCGGACTTATTCACTCAAGGACTCCCTCCTAGATAATGACGCCGTTGTGATGAATCTCCACAGTGATTATTTAGCGTGCACCACACGTCTTCTATTCACTTGGTAAACTCCCTTCGACCGGCAGAGCTTCCTCCCGAAGGACGATCTCAAAAACTTACAGACGTCTTTTTGAATATTTTCTATGTAATAAGCTCTCAAATTCACATGTTTTTCCTCTGGAGATGTTCTAATAAATCTCTGTCAATATACTCTGAAACAAAGCCTTTAAATAAAGTCAAGAGAATCTTATTCAAACCCACTCTCGATAAGATCTATATTATCTCCACGATTCTTTCTCTTGGATAGGCTCCAAAATATCTTCACATTATCTTCTCAATCTCCAATTCGAATTATGCAACAAACTTTCAAATCTGAATTAATAACACTTGACCTCTGCGGCCCTTAATTTACGTTCCTCATAAGCACACCGAGGGAAAAAGATTAGCTCCAACCGAATTGTACTTTTGAATCTTCTTGAATTTCCTTTGACCAAGTCAATCTCACATTAAGTTAAATCCACATCTCCTTATCTTCCACGTTTATAGCCTTCCCAAATCCAGATAATCATCAGTTCAAATTCTTCACATAATCTTTTTGATCATTATCTTTTTTTAAAATCTCATTTAAATTCAAATAACCAATGTGTTATCTTCTTTTGACTAAGGCCTTATTTTTATCTCTCCAAATCTGTTCTGAATCTTTTTCTGTAATACGAAATCTTCTTGAACCTATTTTTTAAATTTTTACAAAATTATCAATAAATTACCAACTAATAAAAATACCTAACACATATAATATAAGCAATCTTCAGCTTGTACATTTCTTGGTTTTCATCTCATTGAAGCACATGTGACTGTGAGACTAAAAAGTGCCAATGGAATTTGCACGCATGGTGGCAGTTTTTCACCCTTCCCGCAAATCCATATGAACCAGATTAGTGTATTAGTGTTTTTCCTCTTATCTTTAGCATGAAAATAGCTTTTGTGGAGGAGGTTAAAAAGGGTCCATAAAGTTGAAGTGCAACTTGTGTGTAAAGTCACAACAAGATCTGTTAAGATTCTTGGACAAACCAGAAGTGTATTACCTCGTTATTTTTTATGGCTATAATCTTTTCATAACTCTAAATTTTGGAGGACAGAAGTGTGCATATTCCACATGGGATAAATCTTTTCATGCTTCGTATGAGGCTTGAACTAACACCATCAGTTAGGTGTTACATCACTGCCTATATGATCAAGCAAATGTAACCCTGCAAATTTCTTCTGCTGTCATGGATTGAAGGATTTATCTCTATAAACTAATTTTCCCAAAACACGTGACACGGACGAAATCCTTGCTTGATAGAGAACCCGAAACGCGCATCTTGGTTTCCAGATAAAGTGTAGGAAAAAATAATGGATCAGCAGCAAATTGTTTGAAGTGAAATATGCTTTGCAAAACAATGCAGCTGTTTGGTGCTAAAAAATGAGAGATGAATTCAGTTGTGCAGACTCTAAATCGCAACAAAGCCACAACAGAAGATAAAGATTTGCAGCAGGACAAGAAATAAATATGGCCGACGAAACTCGAACATTTTAGAACACTAACTTCTGACAAATAAAAATGATGAAAAAAGAAAAGTGTGAATATTTTCTGCAATGGATAAATAGCTTATTGTAACAAGTATATAACTGTGCAGTGCAGCAAAATCCCTGTAAATTATTAGAAGAAAAAGAACTCAAGAACATCAAAGAGTTTATATTTTTAAGGAAGAAAATGCTGCCTTCTGATAATCAGTTATACACACTAAAGTTGCGTACAAGTTTTGAGCAATATTTACAGCCAACAAAAGAAAACAAATCTATGTCACATATACACGCAGTTGAGCTACTTAGTCTTCCGCTTATAAAAAAAAAAAAGGGGGCAAGTAAGCTCAATTAACTTCTTAACTCATTGAAACTTTACAACTATGCAGGATATGTCATCCTTGCTTTTCCTAGAAAGAGCCTCCGCAATCAAGTGCTTTGCCGCTGTCTGAGCATCCTTTATTTGTTTGATCGCGTCCACCGCTTCTTGATTCGACACAACCTGTTCAACACTTGAACATGTAAGAAAATGTATGCCACCTTCAAATCTTGGTGTTCCTTTTTACCCCCTCAAAAAGTTATATTTACTTGTCTTTACAACAATGTTTAACAGATAAAAACATGAAAGTAGAAGTTAAAATAGCTAACCTTCCATATCCCGTCGCTCGCCAGAATTATGAACTCAGTGTCTTCATCGATCATCAATATCGAAACATCAGGTTCCGAGCTTAGGTGTATCTTCAAGCACTTATCACCGAATGCTCTTGCTACAGCCAACTGTCCATCAACACGTGGGACGTCCCCTGCAAGAGTTTAGAATTTAGAACTCAATTGTAAACCTCTTTCAACCATCTTGCTGCATCAACTCTAATGCGAAGCTATACTTACTCAAAAAAAAGGTTCAACCTAAATAATAATAATAATAACAAAAAAGCCCGTATAGAAATATTCATAACTTAACCACATTTGATAGACAACATAAATAAAATGCTCAATAACTCAGCTGCGTCCAACAATAGTATAGGCATACTGCTAAAACTGGCAATTGTAAGAAATGATAAATTACCTGGAAGGTTTGACACAAAACCGCCGCGGCTCTCAATCACCCATTTTTCTCTGCTTGGTTCATGATCAACAGATAATTGTTTGGCCACACCATTCTTGCATATAACAGCCCGAGAATCTCCCACATTTGCTACTACAAGCTTCCGTCCATTTATCAAAATCGCGGTTACCGCAGTTGATCCTCCTTTTCCCAAGGAAAAACTTTTGTGCAATATCTCTTCATCGGTTTTGTGATAAGCTCTTTTAATTGCATTCTCTGTGTCAGTCCAGAAGCCAGGCTGCTTAAGGCCACCAAAGAAGAAAAAGAAAGGAAAAAAAAGGTAAAAATTGAAACTCCTAGGACAAGTTAAATAGAAGCTTTAGCACATAAGAGAAATGGAAAGGTACAGATTACTGCTATGACCTCCTTCAAGATGTTTTCAAACAGGTGGTTTTGCAAGTAATTAGCAACATCATGGCCTAAATGACCATCGAATATTGCAAACAATCCCAACTCAGTATCACTTTGTTGTTTGAATGCAGAAACTACATAATCTTCCATGGCGTGCTTGGATTTTCCCTTTACCATGTGAAAGCCATGCGTGAGATGCTTTGACACTTTGCTTTTGCCTTTTCCGGTGTCAGCAGCAGAGGAACCAAATCCAGCCTTCACCTACAATGAACACAAAAAGATTAAGAATAATGTTGGCTTTTCATGTGCATTCTAACATTATGCCATAATGAATTAAGCCCTCTTTACCACAACATATTTTGAAGAGAATAAAAACACGTTTCATAAAATTAGTCAAGGATTATCTTTCTGATGTAGGAGTGACGTTTCATAAAAACACGTCTCATTAACTGCAGCAACTAAACGTATTCTAAGGTTCCGTTCATTTCATCGATTTGAGTTTAAAATTTGAGTTTTGCTACAATAAAAAGCTCTCAGAAATAATCACATCTAACTTTTTTGTTATATTTTTGCTATACTATAAAGCTCTCACATAAAGTCACATCTCAACTCGAACCGGCAAACAAAAGACCCTAAGTTTTTCCACTTTCATACTCAGCATTTACATTTTTTTTTTTAATTTTGGTGACTTCAAATCATAATCTTTTTCTAATTTTTCCACTTGATTAAAGCATTATATTTGGTAAGAGTGTTTAATGCTTCAAAAATTTGGTCAATACCCTCCTCTTGAAATCAAACACCAAACTTAAAAGAGCACCCAAAGTAGAATTCAAATCCAAGGTGGCTCTGGAAACTTAAACGGAATTGCAAAAGAAAGAAAGAAAGGAACAAAAAAAAAAAGAAAAAACTTTGAATTCAAACAGCTAAAAATAGGCAATCTTTGAACCATCTTTTTTTCGCATCATTGATGTGAACCAACTAACTCGGTGGTACAAATTTGTGATGAAGATCATGAGATGTTTTTTTGTTACAGCAATTACAATTGTCATAAATACGAGATATTAATTACAATTGTAGCAAGGAAAAATTTACAATCTAAAAAATGATTTCAACACAAGAACAACAACAAAACAAAAACAAAGTTGAATCATTCCCAAAAAACAAAAAAAACAAAAGGATTTGAGTATATAAAACTAATGACACGGCTAACATATTGCCCCAAGACTTGATTAACGACAATAGTAATTGCTTTTACAAAAAAAAAAATGGAAAATATTCTCTAACCTTCATCTTTTGGAGGATTTTTTTGCCAGTCATATTGTACTTTTGTCAGACAAGTTCAGTTGAACGAGATAGAGGGGCAAAAAAAAAAAAAGGGAGAGATTTTTTAAAGAGAGACAATTTAGAGAGAGAGTTTGGGAGAGAGAGAGGAGTCTTAGGAGGGGAGACGGATAAGAGACAAGTGTATAAATACTAAATAGGTGGGGTTTGACTTGTTCACACGAGACTTGCCGATCACTTTAACACAGTTTTTCATGCTGCGTTCTTTCAAAACAACGCGCTATTGCCGACGACTTCCTTTTAACAATAATAAAAGCTTTTGGGGCAAATTTATTAACCAAAAACAACAAAAAAAAGACTTGAGGTTGAATTTAAATAACTTTTTCTTAAGATTGTTCTCAGGGTCTCATACCTCGTACATTTTTTTATAGTTAGAAAAGAGTGTGCAAAATAAATTCTTTTTAATACAGATAATTTTTAATATATATGTAGCAGTTAATAAACAAAGATTTATTGTTATTTTTTTCTTTTTAAATCTTACGTTAGAAATCTTTTTTTTTTAAGGATAATTTAGATATCATTTACTTAAAATGATGAAATATATCTTTTTGAATGAGAATATTTAGTTAAAATGGCTGAAATTTAACCAATGTACTAATCTAGTGTGTGTCACAAGGCAACAACAATATTTCCGAAAGCGGAAGCTCAAAATATAATGAAAAGTGTCAAGATTTATTCAATGGACTAAAAAACCGACACGTGATCAAATGAAAGGTAGAAGACAATATATGATACACGTGTAACGTCTTCTGACTTGACCCATTCAGATTGTGCCACCTGGTGTGGTGTAGCTTAATTCTAAATGTGGTGGCCAAATTATAGCAACTAAGATCAAAGTTGGTCGGTGCACCCACATGAATTATATATGATGAGTGGTTGATTTTGTAGCCACTTGGATCATGCATCCCATTTTCGGGAAATTATAAAAGTTTTTTTTACTAACTTAAAGCCCTCTAAATGATTTGACAATTGACATTGACTAGTGTAATACAGCAAAACTAAATAGGCTTAGGGATTTTTTTTCGGAAGGCCATTTTTACATAAATTTAGTTAAAATCACATTAATTTTAAAAAAATATATGCAATAAATAATTTATGATATAGATATAATCATTAAAAAATAAAAAATTATTGGTAATTTATTTTTTAAATTCCAATAAAAACTCTCATAAACTTATTATTAATAAGTTATCCATTCCTGTTAGGAAGCTTTCTAAGGGAGGAATCGTATTGGTAGTTTATGTTTTTTAACATTAATTTTCTTTCTTTTTTTTTTTTTTGAAAAGGTCTCTAAACATTATATTTAGTTAAAATTAGATCGGAACCAATAAATAACAAAATTGACATTTTTTTTTTATATTGATCAAGCGATTCAAAATAAAATACTACTGATGATATTTGTTCATATCTAAGAAAATAATACTCTGAATCATATGACGCAAGAGGGAAGTTCTATAAAATCTAAATGATGAATTGCTTAATGCCAATAAGTGAGACTTTTTTTGGTCATGTTATAAATGTACAGGTTATTAATAGGCAAGGTGAAATTTTAACTTCTGAATCTCTTCAAACAGAAATTTTTTCTATTGATCAATGATACCTATAAGAATTCTCTTTAGTTTTGTAGGCACTGACCAGATAATACAATTTCTTACTATGATGAAACTATATTGAATTTCCCACTCCTACAAAAAGGTGTGCTTTTAGAGAGTTTCGTTTTTTTTTTTTTTTTTTACTTTTTTCTTTTTTATTCGATAGAATGCTTTTGAAGAGTATGTTATGTATGATAAAGGAAATAAATACCATTCAACAAATTGGTTAATTAGAAAGGTACTTAGGGCCAGTTTGGTAATGGTGTACATTTTGAAAAAATTACTTTTAGTTGTGCTGAAGGAAAAAGACAGTTGTGTGTTTGATAAACTATAATTATACAAGTGTTGTTGGTTCTAAAAATAGTATAATAGCGTTTGGTAAATTGTGAGGTCGAATTGTTGTAGGTAGTTAAGATCACCGTAATTAATAATCTTAAAAATATATAAAGTAATTAATAATTGATAATTATTTAGCAAATAAAAATTAATATATTAATAATATAATAATAATGGATAAATTATCATTAATGAGTATATAATAATAAATTAATATGCTAAATAATTAAATATAGTAATTAGTAATTAATTATATATAATTACTATGTTAATAATGTACTCATATTTATTAACTTTTAGTTACATAATTAAATAATTAGTTAATTAATTACTAATATTTACTTAATAATCTATTATTTGATATATCACATGATCAATTTTTAGTAATTATTCTTTTTATAATGATTAATTACTAATTATCAATTATTAGTTATTATTGATTAAAATATTACATATTGATAATTATAATTTAATATTAATTATTAATTGAGTAATTACTATTTATTTTTTATTTACCAACTATTTACTAATTAATAGATTCTAATTAACATTATATATGAATAATATATTAATTATTAATTATTTATTTAATAACCTATTATTATTTATTTTATTGTTAATATGTTATATAATTAATTTTCGGCAATTAATCTTTAACTAAATAAATAATTATTATATCATTTTTATTTTATTAACAAAATTAAAAACTTAATAGTAATTATATAGTAATTAATATATAATCTAATTAGTAATTAATAATTAATTATTTAATATAATTTTGTTGATAATCATTAATTGTACTATGTTGATTCTCGTACAATCTAAAAGCTAAAATTATTTTTAGGCTGTTTCTAATTTTTTACTGTAGATTCTTCAAAAATTCTTTAAAAATCATTTTGGATGATTTTTACTAAATATCATTATCAATTATTGATGGTTAGATAAATGATTTTAAATTCCAAGAAATAATAACGCACCCTCAGACAAAAAATAAAGACAAAAAAATGTTACTAATAGGAAATAGAAGAGCATTGAAAATCAAAATAACGGCCTGGCGCGTTATCTAGATACACATATATGACCTCGTCAAATTCCAACCAAAATTAGTGTTTTTATTTCCTTTATGATGTCCTAAAGGAAATAAAAATCATTGTTCATTTGGCGATTTTACTTGAATAAGATAAGATGATGTCGTAAATGGTGACCGGACAGAAACATTATTGTTCATTTGGCGGCTGCTATACATGTCTATGCTGTGGTGATCGGCTTGGCCGCCGACTCTTTTGTTCAAAAGAACAATTAGTGGAAATTATGGCCCTGTTTGTTTCCGTTTTCAATCCTATTTTTCACGTTTTTTGAAGTAAAAAATTGAAAATGTATTTGTGAAACGCGTTTAGCGCAAGTTTTTTAAAAAAACAAAAACAAAACCGTTTTTATCGTTTTGTGAAATTCTGAAAACGGATTAAATCTATTTTTCATTTTCCATTTTCATTTTCTCCCTTCATTTTCTCTCTCGTGGAAGTCAGCCCCGTCGATTGCCGGCGCGAAGACTCGGCTGAAGAAGACGCAGGCCTGGGACATCCGGCGAAAGGCCACCGTCTACGCTCCTCTCGACTGGCCCGCCACCATCTTCTCCGACTGCCCGCCACCGTCTTAGTCGCCGTCTGCTATACATGTCTATGCTGTGGTGATCGGCTTGGCCGCCGACTCTTTTGTTCAAAAGAACAATTAGTGGAAATTATGGCCCTGTTTGTTTCCGTTTTCAATCCCATTTTTCACGTTTTTTGAAGTAAAAAATTGAAAATGCATTTGTAAAACGCGTTTAGCGCAAGTTTTTTTAAAAAACAAAAACAAAACCGTTTTTATCGTTTTGTGAAATTCTGAAAACGGATTAAATCTATTTTTCATTTTCCATTTTCATTTTCTCCCTTCATTTTCTCTCTTGTGGAAGTCAGCCCCGCCGATTGCCGGCGCGAAGACTCGGCTGAAGAAGACGCAGGCCTGGGACATCCGGCGAAAGGCCACCGTCTACGCTCCTCTCGACTGGCCCGCCACCATCTTCTCCGACTGCCCGCCACCGTCTTCTATACATGTCTATGCCGTGGTGA